GCATTCAAAAGCCAGATGTAAGATTTTCACCAGTTTATTAACCCTTAAACCCCTAAGAGTGACTGGCTTCTAATTTCTCCTAATAGTATCACCCTTGAATCAAGTGTAAGGGTTGTGAGAATAATAGAAATTATCACCAATTTAAGAAGCTGACCTAATTGTCAACCAAATTCTCCTTGTCATTAGCACAGGAAATGTAGAGAGATCAGTGTGGAGAATATGAACACTAATGTTAGGGTGTAAAGGGTTAAGGGTTCTGTTGTTATAATATTACTCCTGCCGCTGTACAGTGAAAATGTTTTTGTTTCTGTAGTGTTATCTGTTTATACAACACAAACTTTTAAGTATTAATTGCACTGTTTTGTTTATATCACTCATTTGTGTGGTATTCAATATTACCACTTTTCTTTATGTAATGTTTATGTTATTAAGATCTTCTCTCTTTTCTAAAATATGAAAGGCTCTAATTTCGGTAAAAAAATCACTCTCAATAACTGTCTGCTAGAAGTTTGGGAATCTTAGGGTTAATCATGACCATTACTTAATTTCCTTAAAAGTAATTTACTGGTGCATTAGATGGTTTGTTTTTCAATAGTTATTTTTAGAGTTTTAATCTGACAGTGTAACCAGACAGTTGGCTGTATGGTCAAACCTTGATTATCCAGACTTGTGGAGAATCATAGGCTTTATAGTCCAGATAATCCAGAGTTTGGAGAATGGAAGATATGAGTATAAATGTTGGTTGAAAATGGGACCAGAGCAGCAAGTCCAGATAATGGAAAAATCTGGATAATGGAGGTCCAGATAATCAAGGTTTGACTGCATTGATTGGACATGGCTAGCTGTATTTGGACAGTTAAAGCAGCCAATCATACTAGTTAGTAAGTCCACTCAGTTAAATCCACTAGTCACAGAGTTTAAAAAGCACTTTCAGTTTAAAACTTTGCATTTGTTCTTCCAGAAATTGTAATGGTTATTATTAATTGGTGACAATTAGACTTTATGTTGTCCAATTTGGTCAGTAATCATGCATACTCAAGTAAACATCTGAATCTGCATGGAGAATCACTTGGCCAAAAATTATTAGGTACAGTAGAGAAAAATAAATAATTTAAACTTCTTTTGCATTACATACATATACTGTTCTAATAGTGTTGATAATTAACAATCATTGCAGAAGGTGAAGTGAGTATTAATTTTGAATAATCCTGAGGCAGAGTCAAGAGGATTTTTCAGCTGCAAAATGCCTCTAATCAAATAATCATGGAGAATTGCTAAGATATCAGTCAAGAATAGGGGAGCTTGACAAAGACATTCAAGAACTAGTAAAAGTGAAATGGTTATATAGATTGATGGTGGATGCCTCAACTTTCAGTCAAAAGAGGCAAATAGTGTATACCTCATGGTTACTTTTAATCTCTTCTATACCCTCTTGGGTGGTGTATACATGAGGATAATACCTTAAGTCTTTTCCACATATATCCTCTTAGGTAGTGTATACCTAAGGGTTACTTTTAATCTCTCCTTTACCCTCTTGGGTAGTGTATACCTGAGGGTTATTTTTAATCTCTCTTATACCCTCTTGGGTAGTGTATACCTGAGGGTTATTTTTAATCTCTCTTATACCCTCTTGGGTAGTGTATACCTGAGGGTTGTTTTAATCTCTTCTATATATAGATGGTTTAGATGACTTCATGAAGTCATCTTAAACACTTGCACCAAATTATTACAGTGTTTAATAATGTACATGAAAAAATTACAAGCTTCTGATTGGCTGAAAACAAGTGCATAATTCTCTTGTAACAGGAGTGCAAAGTTGTATCACAAGTGCAAATTACAAATAGCGTGTGCAAGCTTTCAAAATTCCATCTGTCCATACTTTCAGTGATGTTTCTTCATGTACATTCATTTATGAAAAAGAAATGTTCATGATTTCTCCTGCAATTTTCTGTAATAAGCACTGTCTTATAAATTTTTCAAATTTTTTTTTCAGTCTTATAACTGTTTTTTGAATAGTACATGGATATTATAGGGAGAAGTTACATGTTGATCAGTTTTGGGGATTAAAGGGTTAATCACTTGTATGATTACAGACAGAATTGGACTCTACTCAGTCGTACTATCATTATACATTATGCTTAACCTCGTCTAATAACTAGTTAGTAATAGATGGATTGTACATACACATGGTGATCAACGAAAGATTTTTTTCTGAAAGACTGCTGCTGAAAGGCCTTTTAATCATGTTGAATAAATTATAAAAAGTTTGCTTTTGAGTGTCTAAGGAAAGAGTGAAACAGGTCCCTCAACCCTCAATATCTTCTTATTAATTCTCCCTTAAGCCACTTTACATTTTCTTGTAAATTAGTAGGGAGAATATGATGCTACATCAATACACAACTTTCACAGTTAATATGTGTATCAAGTCTTTTGCTGGATAATTTATAAAAATTGTAAGTATAAGTTACATATAAATCACATCTTGGAGTTAACCCTTCTGAACCCTCAGAGGTGATTAACATGTTACCTCTCCCTACATTATCCAAACATTATCCAGAAAACAGGTAATGAGAATACTGAAAGTTATCAGTAAGAGATTGTTATTTTGATCAAACACCAAATTCTCATAACTAATTCACAAGGAAATGTGTAGCAGCCAGAGGGGAGAATTAAAAATTAGATCTTAGGTGTTAAGGGTGGATTTCTTTACCTTTATAATGTTCTCTTTCAGGTCTTATTGGACAAGAGTGATGGAATAGCAAGCAGGATAGAATCTCTTAAGAAGAATTCTTAGCCAGAAAATAGCAAAAAATTTTTTAGCTTGTGTCAGTCTCATGGTTGGTGGAAATGAGAGAAGGAGAGTGTGTGCAAAGAACAGCATGGGCTGTGGCAGTTTCCCTGACAACCCCAACAGCTGTTTGTAGCTTACCAGCTCTCTTACTCACCTTCACTACCAAAGGGCCTGATACAGAAATTTTTGAATAAGATAGTAAATATTTCTAAGTTTGTCTGTATTTACACCATTATCATCATCAAGAAACGTGCATTTCTATCATCTGTTTGTACAAGTAGATAAAAGGGGTAAATTTCTAAAGAAACTGTGATGCTACATCTGTGGAAGAGTATAACAGGGTAATTTAGTATTATCAACTGAGTTGATAATGTAAATTGGCCACCATAAAGAGTTTCAAAGCTGATGTTTCCAGCATTAGCCCTTTGTATGAGTGATTGGCAAAGGGCTATGCTTTAACGAAGGGCTGCCACTCAAAACATCAGCTTTTAAACTCTTTACATTGGCCTGTTTGTATAAGTAATCCACTTTGTTTGTAAATATGCTTAGGAAAAGAAAACTGTACAGGAACAAATATAGAGGGCTTCAAAATCCTCTTGTCTCTGCTTATTATGAGTAATCAGTATTCACTGGTTTGAAGGTTGCACATTTATACAGTCTTTTTACCCCACAAATATTGATCCACAGTAGGAGGGTATGTGGAAACCCCCTCTTTTATCTCTCTTGTGTGACAACTAACAAAACGAGTTTCCCTTAAGATTCCACAGCCTCAAGTGTAGGCAAATTCCACAAATGATCACATATTGCTCCTGCACCTCACAAGAGAGATGAGCATTTATTTTTTGGAGTGACTTGCATCAGTCTTAAATTTCTCCTTTCTTTTATTTTGGCATTTTACATCGGTGTTTTCTTTTTCTTATGTTTCCACTCCCTTTTTCTTTCCATTTGGTTTCCTTTTGCATTTTTCCAGACTTTCTTTAATAAAGTACTTCACATGAAATTCCATCTCTCATTGTATGGGAATCCCATCAGACCTGCCGAAAGGGCCCCTTATGGGACCTTACCGGGATCTTGGCAGGATTCCCAAATCAACGGAATATGGAATATCATGTGAAGTATATTAATTATATTGTTACCATGCCAGGATCCAGTACCTGATCATTAGTGCAGCTGTTAGTCTTCCCCTTATGTAACAATCTCTTGTAGATTCTGGCTGACAACAGTTTGCAAAAATTTACCTTCTGCACCCTAACTTCAGTATGTGTTTTCTCCATGATGTTCTCTATACATTTTCTATGGTGCTGAGAAGTAGAATTTCTTTAACAATCAAAAACTTCCTAAGTTGGTGATCATTTCCTCCATTTTTGCAGCCTTAATGTTTGATTAAGGTTACAGGGTTAATTTGTGTTTGATTAGTTAATATTTGATTAATTTTTACAAGGTTAATGTTTGATCAAAGTTTGATTAAGGCTGCAGGGTCGATAAAGAACTGATAGAATGATCAGGCAAAAGTTTTAAAGAAATCAACTTCTGGTGAATGTTGCCTTTTCCTTTCTAAGCAATTGACAAATCTCAAGGAAAAGATGTGACGAAACCTACTTTGACCCCAGAGTTGTTCATCAAAACAAGTTCGCCATGCTATCTGTTAATCTTGCATGGGTTTGGAAAGTTGTAAACTGTATGATAGATTGACAACCTGGGTAATTTTAGACAAAACTAGGAAAACATCTAAGATTGAATTTGTAATTACGTATTCTTTTTTTTCTTGTCGTTGGAAAAGCAGGGATTGGGAAATCCCTGTTTTGCCAAAAGGTGATTCGCGATTGGGCCAACAACGAATTATTTCAAGCACGAGAAAACACTGAAATCCCCAATTTAAAGTTTGTGTATTTGCTTACTTTCCGTCAATTGAATTTGCTTGAAAATAACTGTGTGACTGTAAGAGAAATCTTAAATTGTTGTTCGGCTCTGGATGACAGATGTAACATTGATGACTCTACATTTGAGTACATTTTAAAGCATCCCAAGGAAGTTATGATCATCCTCGACGGCTATGATGAGTATTCACAGCAAGACTACATCGCTGGAAACTTAGAAGAACAGCATCCCAATGATGCTAGACGTAAAATGCCGGTGACCGCATTATGTTCAAAACTCATCAAAGGAAAAATCTTGAAAGAGACTATCGTCATGGTTACCTCGCGACCTGATGAATCTGACAAAATGGGAGGAATCCGTTTTAAACGATACGTGGAAATTTTCGTCAGAACAAGTGAAAGAGTACATTGAGAAATACTTCAAGAACAACGAAAGTATGAAGAACGCTGTACTTAAACATGTCACGAACAATGAGAACCTTGTCAGTTTTGCTCATATTCCTATGCTGTGTTATCTGTTGTGCTTCGAGATGGAGTATACCCTTGCTGAATCAGAAAATCCTGATGACCTTCCTGTCTCAATAACCAACATTTACACCAAACTTGTTGATATCTTTGAACTTAAGCACTGCGCCGAGTCAGAATACAGACAGAAAGAAATTCCTGAGCAATTCAAGCCCCCTTCTGTCATCAAGAACACATTAGAGAAATTATCAAAACTAGCGGCGAAACTGGTGGTTGAGAGAAAGCCAACTTTTGATGAAGGGGAGATGGAAGGCGAGTTTGAGCTGGAAGAAGTCAACAAACTGAAAGGTAGCGGTCTTCTTTACTGTGATCAGCCTTTCAGGACTGGACTGATTACAACCACGAAGCACTTTAGCTTCACGCATCTAACCGTCCAAGAATTCTTGGCTGCTCGTTGGTTTGTTAAGGAAAATTGTGTTCCAGACGAAGAAGGCTCTGAAATGGTTTTCCAATTCATGGCTGGCATGTTGTCAAGTGAAGGAAACGAGGAACTGATGGAAAAATTATTAGATTCACCCTTTATGCATCGTAATCTTAAAATGACGTGTCTGAATGAGTATCAAAACAAAGAATTTGCCAAAAAATTCATCAGGAATAATCCGCAAGCGTTTTGTAATTCAGACGGCGTCGTGGCTTTTGAGGTTTTTTCTGATGTGGGCTGCATTGGTGTATCATTTGTGTTGGACATTATCAGTGAACTAAATAAAGAGGAAGCTGGAGAGGCACAACACAAATGTTCTGATAAGTTCGTCAAAGTTAAGAAGGTAGGACTTAGCGGACCACAGCTAACACGGTCTGGAATACAACGAGTCTGTAATTCACTGAACAATAAACACTGTCTTGTGTCTAAACTGAACTTATTGGACATTTACTTGGCTGATGAATGTGTTGATGTTATTAATAGATTAGTAGTAAGGAAGTTAACCGCATTAAGTTTAGTGAGCACTTGGATCACTGATACTGGTGTTGCCAGTCTATGGGAAGCTTTACAGCATCCAAGCTGTAAGCTAACCACACTAAATCTGCAGAGTAGTTCTATCACTGATACTGGTGTTGCCAGTCTGTGTAAAAGCTTTACAGCATCCAAGCTGTAAGCTAACCACACTAAATCTGCAGGGTCGTGCTATCAATGATACCGGTGTTGCCAGTCTATTTGAAGCTTTACAGCATCCAAGCTGTAAGCTAACCACACTAAATCTGCAGGGTAGTTATATTAATGATATCGGTGTTGCCATTCTATGTGAAGCTTTACGGCATCCAAGCTGTAAGCTAACCACACTAAATCTGCAGGGTAGTTATATTAATGATATCGGTGTTGCCAGTCTATGTGAAGCTTTACAGCATCCAAGCTGTAAGCTAACCAGACTAAATCTGCCTTCCTTTTCTTAGTCGCAATTCTTAAAGCTATAACTCAGAGACACCGACCAGCTTTAAACCTGTCTTTTGAGGGTCGTCTAAATCTTATATAGTTTCATCAATTTTCAGTAGATTTTTATATTTAAACAAAATAAATAGTTGCAAGTCAAATCTTAATTTTGTGTCAAAGAGACTTACCAGGTAGACGAATAATTTTTAATCACTAGAGTGAAAAACAACGCTTAATGTAAATAGAACCGCAAATATTTTGTAATAAAGGTTTTTTTTACTGGCAACATTGTTTACTGTACTTGGTTTGTGGGTGTACCCCACTCGAGTGGTGACAAGTAAGACTTGGGGTCGGGGGAGGTGTGGAGGGCAATCCTCCGAGAGGCTACTGGGCATCTAAGGAAGCTTTCGGACAAGAACATTTAGTTAAAGTTTCTCGAGGTAAGAAAAAAGGAAAATGTCTTCCCGTTCACCTGATTCTGATTTAATTTTTGGTGAAATTACACCCTTCTAAGTATTGCCAAAAAAATATGGTTTTCTTGTTTTTTTTTTTTTTTTTTTTCAATAAGCAAAAATTTTTCGTTTCAACTGTCCGCCATTACACTGTACCGATCATTGCAAAAATTTTTCATCCTCGTTTAAGTTGTTCAGCTTTGTAAAGTTAAGTTCCAGACGAATTACATGTAGAAAGCTGGATCGAGGGATAGATTAGGAGGTTAAATTTCCCACTCGAGAACCCAGCCTATGTAGCATGCACCACCGGTTTTAACCTTTTTGGAGTAAGTTGCCGTGGTGTATCCGAACTCAGATTAGTTCACAGATTGGACATTTAATCTCTGGTTTCACCAATTAATATCTCGAGTCAGCTCTGTTAGTGCCGCTCGACAAAGACGCAAAATGGTGATGGGAACAGATTAAACGGAAAAATTTGTTTTCTTTTTTAATTGAGGTGGTATGTTTGGCGTTTTACAAAAACGGTGAACTTAATACTGAGTAAGTTTGCAATAACGTAAGAGAGCTTTTGATACTATTCCTTTACGAGACCTGCCTCCGTTAAAGGCTCCCTCTCCCCCTTCCCTGGCTTGCTCACATTCACACGAGCACCTACAAAGCAACAGACAGAGGAAGCCACTGTCCGTTTTTCGAAACCGGTTTTGCTATCTTTAACAGTTCTTCTAAGAACCTCATGGCCACTATTGGAGACAGAAAAGTCAGTGCTATACTCGCTAAAATAAGAGACAGCCAAACGCCGCTGATCTTGCCAATTAAATCTCCCCAGAAAAACAGTCAGCCTCCAAACGTTCCATTGTGAAGGCACGCACTAAACGAGCCAGTGCAGAATTAAACGACGACTTGCGTTCGTCAAAACTAGCTTCCAAAAGTTCTAAGAGTTACATGATTAGATAATGTATACGAGTAACACCGCTCTTATAACATGAGAGTTCGATCCCTTGGGATTTTTGGTGTGTGAAAGGCTATTACCTGATACAGCACTTAGCAGCCTACCCCTTTTTCATAAATTGCACAATTAATTTATGACAAAAGGAACCTAGAGTAATTCTAAGTCGCACGGTTACTGATCAAAATTGAAATCTGAAATCTTCAACTCCGATGTATTGCTCCTCATTTGGTCCCAAAAATTTCCCTTTTGATCACCAGGACACATTATGTTACAGCTTCAGGTACTAAAGTTTTTGTGGATTCCTTTTTTATATCCTGGTATTCAATGTAGTAATTGTGGTTTTACTGTAGCTCGAACTGTCCTTGTTTTCTGTTCCACAAAACTATCCTAAACGGATGCACTATTTCAGTCCGAGCGAAATTCCAAATGAAAATACGGCCGAAAACATTTTAAAAAAATGAATACTTAGATTTATTCAAAGCGCGCAAATTTTATTACCTAGTACGGCTGAAGGAAGTGGGGTATGGGAAAATAAGGACCAAGTAAGTAGCAATCAGAACGCTCCGATTTACCTCTGGACTATCTCGCCATATGATATTCCAGTACAGTGGTACCACTAAGCTTCACTAGGCTTGTTCGGCCAAAATGGCTGGATGTTGGCCGAGTTCTTTTTTTGCGTTTTTACGGACTGGAACGAAGTCTTGATCTAGAAAAATGCAAAAAAAAAAATTAGTTTAATATCTAGCCATCTCGACCGAACAAGCTGGATATATAAAGGATTTGTTATATAGCAAAAAGGTTTCGCTTTCTTGAGAATCGAGAATGACTTGTTTAATTCAAGAGCCGGGAGAAAAGCCAACTGCGTTTGTAATACAGTATAATGCCCACGAGAGTTGCCTATGTTTTCTTTACAATTTAGTGTAATCAACAGAGTTGATAACGTAAATTGGCCGCCGCAGAGAGTTTAAAGGCTGACGTTTCGAGCGTTCGCTCTTCGTCAGAGCGATGACTTGGGGCGAATGCTCGCAGCCGGCGATAAGATAAATGTCAATATATGTATTCTTCATTTCTTTTTGAACAGATAAGTTGCTTAACTTGAGATATTCATTAACTGTGCGAGAATTTTGAAGAGCAAAAAAAGTTTGGAAGCCAGTCTAGTGATGTAGGTATGAATACTCCTGATAGAACTGAAAAGGCTGGAGAAAACGGAGGTAAGGAGGTGTTTATGGAATTTGTACATAAAATCTGATAAAATAAATCTGACAAGATCAAAAGATTTCATGGTTTTTAAGGATTTAAAGAAAGGGCTAATATGTTCTAAGAATGAGGAGAAAGTAATAATACGAATGACACGTTTCTGAAAAAGAAATACGGGATGGAGATTGAACTCATGAGAATTACCCCACGATATTGAAGAAAAAATAAAAGAGAGTGTACAGGAGCGTAGTATAAATCGACGATGGTATCGATATTCACATAATATCTCTTTTGAAAGATTAATCAAATGGAATCATTCTACGGACTCTTCACCTTTAAACTCTTCCTCATTAAAAATTAAAACATGTGTACTGATTCCACCGAAAGGACTTGATACTTCAAGTTCAAATTTTCCCACCCCACCCAAGCAAGGTTCAAATTCCCCTCTTCCTGTAAGGCCCCTTTTGGAAAATTCCCTTGAGTTTCCCGGGAAGGATGTTGAAGCTTCGATCGGTGTACGAGTCCGAGCGTCTACAATAATAAGCGAAAGCTCTGAATATAAAACTTTTTATCTATTTAATATGACTTTTAATACGAATAAGAAGGAATTTGCTACTAAAGAATCACTCCCTAACCTGTAAAGTAGTTTCTTAACGTGTAAAGTAGACAAAAACGTACATTTCCTATTCAACAAGCAAATTAAATTATGTTAGAACTGAAAGAGACTAGAAACTCGTTTCTAGTCTTCCTTGCTTAACTTTCAAGGCGAAAGGATTTTTTGCTCATTTGACAGCTGTCTTCAACATGGCTGAGTTGCAAGTTGGATGCGGTTGATCTCTACTTCGAGAGACTTATTTGACGTTGCTAAGCAGACGATTCACGCCAAGGTAAAGTAATTGATTTACCATATAATTTTCAGCTCTATTCCTGAAACTACCCGCGAGGAAATTGTGTCTTTAGATCCAAATTGTTAAACCTCGTGGCTTAGTGCTTAAGTCAGCTCTTCCCGTTTGTTGGAAACAGGTTCATATTTTCGAATCCATTGGGAATTGTAACACTTGATATGTATATATTTACCAGTTTTTGAGGTTGACCCCGTTATTTGTTTCCATATTTCTGAATTTGGCTGGATTTTCTTGGTTGGATATTAGCATGTTACTGGTAAATATTTCAATACGCTGTACGGGAAACATGCTCATCATCGGACAAATTTCCGGAAAGTTTTCAGGCTTTGATGGGCAACGAAAGACTAACGAACAACTGACTTTGGATGCCAGAATCGGTGGAAAATTTATTGTATTCGGAACATAGCAATCAAAACATGAAACAGTTAGGATTTCGATCCTCAAATAACACAGTTATAGTTTTATAGCACTCTAAATTCCCCAAATAGCATATTCTCCCCCCTAAGAACCAAAATTCTTATCAGAATAAACATTTTAAAGGTGATTCTTTCAAGGAGAATCGAGGTTCTTGAAACAAGATTGAATAGAAGAGAGAATTCTTGTGGTAAGAATACATTACATCTGAATATCTTGAAAAGAATCTCTATTTCAGAAACTCTTGTCCCAAGAAGCGGGAATTCTTTTCTCAAGAACGAGAATTCTTTTCAGCAGGCAATGAAGTAGAGAGTTCTTCTGGAGAGAATGTTTAATTGCAAATCTCATGGACAGAATTGCAATTTCAGAAACTCTTGCTACAAGAATCGGGAATTCTTTTCTCAAAAACGAGACTTCTTTTTAGCAGGTAATGAAGCAGAGAGTTCTTCTGGAAAGAATATTTAATGAAAAATCTTACGAACAGAATTGCAATTTCAGAAACTCTTGCCACAAGAATCCGGAATTCTTTTTCTCAAGAACGAGGATTCTTTCTAGCAGGCAAAGAAGTAGAAGGTTCTTCTGGAAAGAATGTTTAATTGCAGATCTTGTTAAAAGAATCGCAATTTCAGAATTCATTAGATAAGAGGCAGAATCTCTTATAACCAAAATTTTAATAAGTTAACCTCTATTGCTGGTAACTTTGATAATTGTAGACCAAATTATCTGATGAAGTCTGATAAAGCTTTGCCACAATACAGCGGTGTGGAGTAGGTACAAGAACGATTCCCCGGAAAAATGAAATATGATGTCGTAGCCGCGACAATTTACATTAAATTTTCTTGTGAACTTTCTCAACACCAAAATTAATAACTGTGGAAGCAAAAGACTTATCTGGAGGTTTGAGCAGTTCAAAAATAGTCCTTAAATTTTTATTATTGGAGTCTTTTGTTCGCCCCATGTAAGGTAATCCAGGACAGTATTAGAATTCTGGATTCCACGCTGTGGATTCCGGATTCCAGGTGCTGGATTCCGGATTCTACCGTTGCAGATTCCGGATTCCAAAACACAAAAGATTCCAGATTTTAGTTTCTGGTTTGCCCCTAATTTTCGCATTGCGTTTTCTAGGAATGACTTCCATAACTGTCCGTCTCTTAAGTCCAATGTCCATTCATTCCACATCTTTTTAGCAACTCTGAAGAGGCGAGGCCGCATTTCTTTCATACAGGTTCCTCGAGGTTCTTCAAGTAATTTAAAAGTAACAAAGAACTAATAGTTCAAATCTTTGCGTATCATTTTTAATTTGTAAATAACTGTTAGACTAAAAAGTTTTTTCAGTGCAGCATAACATTGTTCCGACTGGGAAAAGATGGCTGGGAACCTGGTAATATCTTATCTTTGTCGCACCGAGATATGATGCCTCATGAAATTTTAAATTTGTTATTCCAAATGCCAAATATCAAAGAAAGCGGTTTACGTTTAAATGCCGAACATTCGACCTATAAATAGACCTTTCCTGGCTCCCACAAATATCCATATATAACTTTGTTCAAAGTTTATCATAATTGGAAAAGTGAAATCCGTCGCCTTGATAAGCTCACTCCTGCTAATCTTGGAAGCGACACTTCCCTTTCACTCTCCTAGCTACTCTCTGATCCTTTGGAGTTTGATCCTCATCATCTCCAACATCTTCGTCATCAGGGTCACCATTAACAAGCCTGCAGGACCTATTGTCCTCCTCAGACGTTAGAGTGATGCTTGAACCCTCGGCAGTGAATCCCAAAACTCGGGTTAGAATGAAATTGGGTGAGCTCCGATCACAGACATCGCCGTTCAGCCAATGAAATTGTACTTTCTTTCGTAAAAAGTTGCCTCCATCTACTTCTAATTGAACGTCTTGTAAGAGAATAGCCAGCCAGAAAGGTGAAATCTCACAGCAACGATATCCTTATTGTGGTAAACAGTTTGCACCCGCACAGTTCTACCCTGCAGTACGACATTAGCATCTTTTTATTTGGCAGGCTGTTGTTACGTCTTAGTAGTCTTCCGATGAGGCTGTGATGATAGAGGGACGCATGCTGAAGGCATATGGAAGTGTGCCAGTCAACTCTTTCGTCTTTGAGCGAACGTTTTCCTGTCGTACACCTTTTCCATATTCTCCGACAAACTCTCGCATTACGGCTTCTCGCCTTTTGCCCTCCTCTTCTCTTCCTGTTCCCTTGAGAAAGAATACACGCTAGAATGAATTTTGACAGAAAACTGTTGTCATGAGTAGCAAAAATAAGTCCTATATTATGGCATTTTAATAGTGTTCCGCTTATAGCAATTAATTCGAATTAATCTACCTGGTCGTCGTCGTTGTTTTGGTGATCTTGATCGTCGCCTTCGAGAGGGCGATCGCTCTGATTTTTCGAGGAGGCTGCAAAAACGAAGAAAGTGATAGTGTTAAGGCTACATCACGTGTTGTTAATTGAGTTTTCAAAAACTTTTTTCGGTTCGTTAGAATATAACAGTTAATATACCTCGGTGTACGTTCGTTGCGAGACCTTGATCGCCACCTTGGTGGAGATGTCGAAGGTTCATACTGTTCACGAAAAGGCCTGCAAGAAAAAAAAAAAAACTTAGTTATTTTCGAAAAGCCCAATTTTAAGAATGATGGTGCGGGTTCTAGCGCCTGGGCCAGTCCATTTTTCAGTTCCAAAACTGACAGTTTTATTGTACTTCTGATTTACAAAATTATCACACCTTATTGGGCCAGGTGATCACCGAGCTCCAACAACGGGCCTCAATGCTTGAACCTAAAGTCCGGCGGTTAGCCATGGCTAAGCACATGCAAGTTAGCGCAATAAAATAAGTCTCTCATAAACAATGATGGTTTAACCAATAAACTCCCAGAAAAGACTGACATGTGACTTCTCCCTATAATATCTATATGTTTTTCAGCAAAGGGTTCATGGGAATACTCAAAATTATCAGGTTGAAGTTGTCATCTTGATATTACACCAAAGTTTCGTAGCTAATTTACGAGGAATTGTGTAGCAGCTAGAGGGGAGAATTAACAATCAGATCTTGGAAATTAAAGGGCCAAATGTGATTCACGATTCGAGCGGAATTTTGCGCAAAATAAGCGATTTCCATGACCAGTGTCAGGTAGCATAATAAAATATTTAACGAGCAGAGTTTATTCAAACCTCTAGCGTAACTGATGTCAAAACGACTAAAGGCCTAAATCGCTGCTAACAAGCGAGTCATGCTGTGTGTTTGTTGCGTTTCATCATTTAACGAGGCGTAATACATTGTTGTTTCATGAGATGCAAACAATTGGCCGAGTATTCTCAAGTTTAGTAAAGCGATTTTTCGAGTCTTCCAACTTCTTTTAAACTTCCGAATTCTACTACATTTAAACAGTTATTATTGACTATAGTTCGTCATTAAAACCCCTGTCGTTCCTGTTTGCTCGTTGCAACCCCTAAAAAAAATTAGTGTTTCATAATGGACAAAAATCCCCAAACCTCGATGGTCTTGAACTCGCGTATTTTTCTTTTTAGTCTTTCTTTCTTCGGTTTCTTGGGCTCCTGAAGATGCATTTTCAGTATTTTTTGGTAAATTTCGCTGGAGGTTAAGTTAGTTCAAAATGGAACAAAGAATCAATTGAATCATTACAATGTTACACTTACCTTTCCCTCTCCGCCTTTTGCTTTTTCTTGTGCTTCCCCATAGATTATGATTAAAGTATCGAGATTTAGGGAAAGAGCAAATCGAACAAACAAATGATATATCAATTGAAGAAGACACTGGAAATTTTCTGTAATACTGCGGCTTGTGTCACTCCACGTGCTCTGAGTGACTGGTGCAGTTTTGACAGTTCCTGGCTTTCGTCTGGCTTCTAATTACAACTATGCTTCCACGGCCATCAGCAGGAGAATATTACTTTTTGATGCTCTCATTATGATTTAAGGAAAATGGAAATGCGCCCCATTTGCTTAAAAAACCGGCGGGGAAAGCAGGCAAAAGCAAAGCATCCAAGTTGTTAATAGTTAGATTATTTTCACAGAAATTTAAAAATTCCTAGATTTATAGGAAAACTAAAACGTATCTTTTTTACAAAGTCACCTTCCAACTGTTGTTATGACAACCAGTAAGTTAATAGTCACAGGACGTCATAGCGGCCATATCATTATTTAGAGGTGTTCCAGAACAATCAAATAGCGGCTATATTGATGTTCCAAGCAAATCCTGTGGGATTTGAACGCTTCAGTGATATAAACACTTTCTAAATTTGATTGACCACGTGAGTGAACTGCACTGTACAGTGGTTGCATGGACGCGGGTGAAAGCCGTTAATATGATTTGAAATGGATTTTCAGCAAGCGGATTCTGGATTCCCCCTTTTTAGCGGGATCCTGGATTCCAAAAGCTGGATTCTGGATTCCAGAGCCCAGTATTCCGGATTCCACAAACAAAAATTTCCTGGATTCCGGAATCCGGATTATCTTACATGGGGCGAAATAATATTGAATAGTCCGCCATAAAGAGAAGTGCACCACCCGGAAACTCGTCTCTAGTCTTTCTCGGTTATTCTTCTCTCAAACAGGTTTAGGCAAAACCCCGAATAGCGTTCGTACCAAAGTTTCCAAACTGGCTCAGGTGCGAGTAGGATGCGGTTGATCTCTATTTCGAAAGACTTGTTTGACGTTTGTAAGAGGACGATTCTAGCCAAGGTAAAGTTATTTGTTTACCATATGCATTCTTTTCACTTGATTCATGTTATTAGTCGAGAAGGACTTGTTTTAACCCTCGTAGCTTGGTGCTTCGTCAGCACTTCCTGTTTGTTTAAGTGATGCTTGTATTTTAGGAATTGGAGCTTATAGTTAATCTTGATATCACAATCGGTAGTTTTTTTATCTCAATTGATTTACTTATTTGTTATTATTTTATCGAATCTTGACTGGATTCGCTCGGCTACGAGGCATGAAACATGTGTTTTAAGAGACAAATGGTTGAAATTCGTGGACATGGGTTGATGTCAGATCTAGAGTCTGTTTTAAAAGATATTGACATTATTGACAGACGCTTGCGCAATATGATAATGAACTGTAGTCTGTTGAAGTGTTTTTGGTTTCAGATGAATTTTCGTCTTTCAGCTTGACCTTTCATCGTAGCAATATGATGCGCTCCGCAATCAAACAAATCATCACGAGCAATGCGAAATGAAACGGTTTACATTCCGGTACGTGAACACTGAAGTGAGCGCCTGTTGCAATGAATAAAACAGAACATCATTCACAATCTTAAACAGTATATTTTACTTCTGATCCTCATCGAGGGTGATCAAGGCAGGTTCGAAGTTTCGAAGAATTTATCACCTGCGATGCAAACACCAAATTGTTTACATTCCGCGACGTAAACATCTTAAGGAGCGTTGATCGCCATGAATTAATTGGAAAGCATATTACGGAGTATTTGTTTCGTTACTTGCTCAATGAAACATGTGTTTCGATGCCATGAGTAATAGACATTCTCTCTCCCAGCTGATTCATCAAGAACTCAAATCAAATCCAAAAGTTATTTGTTTCACATTGTAATGTAATATAATGGAAACTTGTAGCACTGAATAACAAAGGCACATGAGTCGTGCATTTTTTTCGACCGTGCGCGTAAAAAAATCCTATATACGCGTCTGACTACCCTGCGTCTGCGATGGTTGATTATACATAGGACCAGGGAGAGTAAGATTTCAGCGGAAGGTGGAGGTTTCGTTCGATTCTCGTATTTCATGTACGTGAGATGTCGTTTCGCCTTATTTTAGACATTTATACCTTGTTTTAGATGGTTTTAGATAGTTTGCGAGTGGCTGTAGATGCTTTTGAGGTGGTTGTTGAAATTGTTGAGGTGCTTGTAGATGGTGGTAGGTGGTTTTAGATGGTTTTAGGTGGTTTTAAGTCGTTACATGTTTTAGTCCTTACGACTGTAGTGCTTCGGTCAGCAACTTCTGCATGTTTGTTGAAGACATCTCTGTACTTGCCAACCAATTGCGTATTTGTAGTAGTGGCCTAATTCATTTGGGCCTTCAAATTGGAAATGTGTTTTCAAATTGTACAATTTAAATCAATTTTTTAGTTTACTCCTGGCTAGTTGTGAATTTAACCTGATACATTCCTTCATTTTAAGCCTAAGGAACAACTGATACATGTCCCTCTACTCCAGAAATACTGAAAACTGCTGCTTATAAGCCGCCCCTCTTAAAAGCCCCAGTCCAAGTTGTCAAGTCTTTCACATGGAGCGTGAGACCTCACGCAAACAATTTTAATATTATGTTCTCAAGCTGAAAATAATTATTGTTTCTTATGGCAAACTGCTGCTTTTGTAAACCCTTTAACTCCCAAGATCTGATTGTCAATTCTCCCCTCCAGCTGTTACATATTTCTTTGCTAATAATTAATTGAACATTTTAGCTTGAATTAGTTGTGTACAAACAATATTTTACCAAGGAGATAACTTTCCTGGAATCAGAACCAAAACATTGATGTTTTCTCTATTTACACAATGAAAACGGCAAGTGATTGAATCTTTGCTGTCAGTTAGTGAAAATACCAACAGTCTTTGAAATGGAGTATGTGTAGACCAAGGAAGAAACCTTAATTTGTAACACTTTTCCTCTTATTGCACCATGCTGTATTGCTTGCCAAAAAAGTAATTAATTGTTTTAATAGAGTTTATTTTCAAAGGGGATCGATATATACCATCAAATGAGCAATTGTATTAGGAACATGATCCTGATTGTCTATGTGCCGGGTCACACTGGAGTGAATTAAAATATTTGCACAAACCCAAAATTGCAAAAATTTTGAAATTTCCAATTTTTGGTGGTGGTTGCATAAAACTAGTATCCTCTGAACAAAACTTCATCAATTGACACATATGTCAATCACAAACCCATCTCCTTCTATTAAAAGATAAAGAAAAATTCTTGCTCAAATTACTGGGCAAAATTGGATTGTCATTAAAAGATTATCTTCGCAGCTTTCTGGTTTTTGTGGAATTTTGCATTTCTTTCTCAGCAAAACAACATAGTGTTTTTTATATTGTTGGTACATTATCAGCAGGCTTCTATGCAGCTAGTATCAGCTTTTAGACATAGAAGGCAAAGAGTTTGCCTAAATAGAGCTCACTTTCAAAACCATCCTTAGGCGAGGACTCTGCATTCAGCAGAGTTGTTGTTTGAGACTGCAAGGACCATGTATCATTCTGCACTTTCTCTTTTTTATGCCAATCTTTTTGGTTGCAGCTTGCACCACTTGTGCTGGCTTCATTTCTATAATTCCAACAGATGGAGAAGTACTTGTTTAAACTGATTGTTCTCCAAATTGCCACCAGTGGCTGAGCCTAGGGTACAAGTCAGACATTAGAATAAAAATGTTGATCAAATTCCTAGTTTCCCTCCAAAGAAAACTGAGGGTCAGATGGACAAGGAAAAAAAAATTGTCTTGCCATTGCATGCACCAAATTACACTGTCCAACAGACCACAGTATATTTTTCCTGCTTAAATTTTATTTAAATATGTATTGAATATGATGACAGCCAGATGGTAAAAAAGAAATCAAGATAGTTTGATTTGCCAAAATTTGGAAGCCTCAGAGGCAGGACATTGCTCCTTTGAGGATTGGCAAAATTATGGCGATCCGCAAAATTTGGCAAAGTTTTGAAAACTGGGAGTTGCTCTTATTTTACACTATTTTTTTTGACAGGTTTTTGCTTAAACAATACCAAAAAAAAAAAAAGCTCTGGTGCGACCCAGGCCTTTATTTAATTCAAAAGGAGTGTGATCCTAGGAGAGCACCGTATTCTTTTTTTGTAAATGATGAACATTACCATTTACTAACAACAGTGGGAGACATATTGTGGCTTAATGGTCAGTGTACTGGACTCTGGTTACAGAGGTCTGGGTTCAAGACCTGGCTGAGTCAAAGTGTTTTGTTCCTGGGCAAGAAACTTTGCTCTCCCATGCCTCTCCACCCAGGAGTATAAATGGGTATTGGTGAATTGTTAGGGAAGCCTGATGAAATGCAAACGGGGAGTACAGACATCTTTTCTAACCAATGACAGTACCTCTGATCTCCCACAGCACTTCAAAAATGTTATGGAATTTTCTGGGATGTTAGAGGCAAACCTTGTGGGGAAAAACGGGAAACTTGTTTACATCATGGCCATGATAATTTATTTTTCTTTACATAACAATAAATAGAAAACCAAAAAATGCTCGGAATAAAGCATTGCAAACTGGTAAAAAGTGATTAACATGTATATATGGCTCAGAACCAGAGAAACATTTTTTTTGCTATTTTGACAAACGAAAGCTGTTTGATTAGTGTGATCACTCAAAAGAAGTTTTTGGATCAGAAATAATCTTTCATGGATTAAAAAGATCTTAATTAAAATGAACAGTAACATGATTTTTTGTGGAAAACCTAAACACATTTAACGAGTCTTCAGAAGAATAGTGTTAATTTCCTTGAGATATGTACATTACTGTGTGGGTTTTAAAGAATTGTGTGTCCCCCCCTGCCCCATCTGCCTTTTTAACCCTTAACACCCTAAGACATTGGTATTCATATTCTCCACAATGGTCTCTTTACATTCCTTATGATACTGACAAGGAGAATTTGTTTGACAATCAGGAACTTCTTAAATTGGTGATCATTTCCTTTATTCTTGTGACCTCTACATTTGATTCATGAGTGATACTGTGAGGAGAAATTAGAAGCCAAGGGGTCAAAGATTTAAAAAGGAAGACAAAAATTGTTGTATAAATTTTTCGGGTGATAACAAATTTAATGTTAAGTACGTGGAAGGACATTTTGGCGGCAGGAAGTTCAAATAATGACTTTCGTGTGTATTTTTCTTTACAGAAGACATGTCTCCATGGCTTCTGCCACTCCATCATATCCTTCTACAAAACGAACCTCTAACTATGCCCAGCTGTGTCGCCTTCTTGTTGAAGTTGGATCACATGTTCTAAGGGAGATCTTTGACAGGGTATGTCCACCAGAAAACCTTCAGGCAGTTCTGACAAATCCCACAAACCGTGCCAAATTACAAACACTTCGAAAGAAGAGAGTCCTGAGTACCTCCCAGTGGGAGAAACTGTATTCTGTCGTCAAATCATCAGTTTCATCAAGAAACTTTGACAGCTCCCTGCTGCTACTTCTTCTGAGAAATATCTTTGGTCTGACTCTCCCTGCCTCTGGCTGTAATAACCTTCCTCCAAGATCAGACACCTCTCCAGAAGCTGACATCACTCGATCGCATCAAGTTTTTCAGGGACAGAGTTTTCAGTCATGCCGCTAATGCTTCAGTTGATGATCCAACCTTTAGTTTGTATTGGAACAACATCAAAGACACCTTTCTATGTATTGGAGGGACCCGCTATGAGGAAGTCATAGATGATCCTACACTCCATTGTATGGATGCCGATCTTGAAGAACACTACCGAGAGCTTCTGAGAGAGTGGTTGAAAGGTAATGACTGCATCACAGAAAAATTGCATGAAGACAAAATTGTGATAAATGCCAGGGAGGGAGGGAACATGGAGGATTCATTTGACATTTCTGAACAAAATTCATGTGTGAGAGGTGTGTGTAATGTTTTGTTAAACCTGAGTTTTTAATAAAAAAAAAAAAAAAAAACTTTGTAGAGTCAATAATGTAAGTTGATCATACTAGATCATTAGATGATATGAATTTCCTGCAGATTTATTTTAAAAAAGTCACAATTATGCTTAATTGAAGTTGTGAATCTTTATTCTCCTGACATGTTAAATGTAACCATAATTTGCTTTTTTTCATCTTTCTTATCCGAAAAAAACTACAACCTTCTTCCTCAGGGACAGCAATAATGCTAGGGGAAAATACATCAGCACAGACTGGCAATAGCAGCCCACCAGAGCTCAGTGTGAAACTCCCAGAGTTGAGTGATCTTCGCACGATCTTTAATCCTTGGAAAACTGTTGAACTTCCTGTTGATGTTCTTTTTTATTAACTGTGGAGAACTGTGAGTTCTTAAGCTGCTTTGCCTACCTGAAGGAACCCTTTAATAGTTACCACATCAGTACTGGCCCTGTGTACTTTGGGTGCATGGGTGATGATCAAGGAAAGAAGATGAAAATTGCATTGATGAGGTGCTCCAAAGGTCCTGATGTTCCTGGGGTTCCTTGTCTGTTTCAAAAGATGCCATCTTGCTACTGAGACCTAAGGCTATATTTTCTGTTGGTGCCTGCAGTGGTTTGAACAGCAAAAAGGTCAAGTTAGGAGATGTAGTTGTTTCAGCAAAGCTGATAACAGCCACACAAAAACTCCCCAGCAGAGATATTGGAAACCTGATCAAACATGTGGCTGATGGGTGGAAGGCACCTTTACAAAATGCAGATGAATATAATGCCAAAGTGCATGGTGATGGAGTGGTTCTGAGTATCTCAGAGGCCAACAGAGATAAAATTTGCCAATTTCCTGAAGCAATTGCAGTTGAAATGGAAGGTGGAGGTAAGAATTGTAATAATTCAAATAATTGATGAGCCAAGAATGTTTTCACTCAAAGGAAGTGTTTTGAAAAACACTGCTCTGGTATTATCCCTGCTGGTCCAAGAAATAGCATATACTATATAGCATGCCAAATTTGCAGGAATTATATAGTGTGTATTTAAAGTGGTTTTATGTTTGGCTGGGGTAGGAAGATTTTTTGCATGTGAAGGTGACTGAGATGTACTGTGGATAACTACAATGAATGTGCTCCTTCAGGATGTCATGAATTGTATTAAATTTGTCATCTGAAAAATGTAGAAAGTATCTTGTTAAATAGTTTGAGAGTTGAGGAATAGTATCACAGTCCCTGACTTAACCTGAAACTTCCATGAGTGACCAAGACAGAGTTTCTCATCACAGTATTAATATGATAACAAGCAGACAATTAAAGGAAAAGAAAAGAAAATGTCAATTAGGGATTATTGGTTGATCCAAAACCAAATTCTCCTAACTAACATCATAGGAATTGTATGACAGATATTAAAGAGAATTACTGAAGAGATCTTAGGTGTGTAAGGGTAAACTCTATCTGAAAGAAGTTTGTCTTTTGAGAAATGTTGAAAGTTACTTATGAAACAATCGAAGCCTGAGGAATAATTTTTACAGTCTCAGTGTACAATTTTTTTAAATTACTAGTTGAAAAGATTAGATTTCAGTACTAACTAACGTCTTTGTGGAATGTGCATGTTTACAAACAGGTAGAGTGTGAATCTTTGCGAGATTCGATTGAACAATTATTTTAAGGATGCTAAGAAAATAAGCTTAATACATAGCTAACAGACATGAGTATTTTTTTTTTTTTCCAGGAGTGTATGCGGCAGCCATGATTTTAAGACAGAATGGGTGGTAGTCAAGGGCATCAAAGACTTTGCAGATGAAACGCAGTCTTCAAGTAAGAAATGGAAACAAATTGCCTGTGTGATGGCAGCATCTGTTGTGGCAATACATTTTAAACAATCCAGTCATATTCCAAGATTGGCCTCACTTTAATGCAGGTATTGCTTCCTGTCTCAATGTTCTCTTTTTACAAGGATAGGTCTGACTTAAATCTAAGTTCCCTTAGCATATTCTTGTATGGATTATAAATCAAGATGAGTTAATTATAATTTCTGTAATAGTTCACAGATTAGAAATTAAGTTACCCTTATTTTGAGTTTACATACCTGTAGGTTTAACAAGACTCTTATGGTGGTGGGAGAAAAAACTTGTGTTTAAATCAAATGATGTAACGATGAGCCAAGCGAACTGACCTGTATTCTATAATTAGCTTGGTTTATGAAACACAACCAAAATATGGAAAATTCAGTAGCTAATGACATTTGCCAAAGTGATTTGAAGTACTGATTTGATATATGTTCCTGGGCCAATAAGCAACACATCAAATTGTTTTAAACTGAAAAAATAGATTCATCAAGTACTGCATGTGTGTCTGTATTTTGATGTGAAAACTATTGGAATGGAAAGGGAAGAGATAAATGCCAGCACACATCTTTATGGTTCTGTTTCTTTGTTGTTGTTGTTTTTTTACCCTTTTTTGGAATCTGACATGATATAGTTTGAGATGAATGAATCAGATTGTAAATAAATTTCTCAGGTAAATTGCTTTAAAGAGACAACATTAATTTTTTGTTTATCATTTCATTTAGGTGCCAATGAATTATCCTCTCAAGGTAAGTCCAACATGTTTTGATGAATGAAATACTTTGTGTTATTACGTCCATAACTTATCAACCTGACAGGTGGTAACTAGTTTGTAGTAAGGATTGAGTACTATTTATTTCCTTGATAAAGAAGGTAATAAGTGTTCTGAGATAATTTGTGAACATGCATTGTATAGAGAATGATAATAGTGCTACAGACAATGTTTGTTTCGATAGTGATATCTGTGATAATGATAGTAATAATAATAATAATGATAACAATAATAATAGTTAACGATTAACAGTGAACTTATATATGACTGTTTTAACTCTCATCATCAGTTACATTCATATTATTTGTTGAAGTGATTAAATTGACATATATTATTAGAGACAGAGTTTAAAAAAGAAGCATCATTTTGAACAGGTTTACCTGAGAAACCAACCATCACAAATACAGAAACAGAAGTTGACAAGGATTTCATTGTTACCTGGTCAGAAGCTGAGGCCAACAGCAGTAATTGCAGCGTTAAATACCGTCTGGAATGGAGGAAACAACCCGTGACAGGATCCACAGAAATGGCTCAACGAGGAAATATTGTGGAAACTCACCTCAAGATTACTGGTCTTGAGTATGACACAGAGTATGAAGTGAAACTGTTCGCTGTCAACGAACAAGGAGACAGTGAGCCAGATGTCAGAACATTTAAGACAAAGAGTGGTATGTACCTTTATTTGAGACTTCTCACTTTACTTTTGGTGTAATTGTTTGAAATGAAATAAGAGAAATACTGTCGGTCCCAAATACAGGAGTAATACTGCTTGTAAGGGGAGGATTGTGAAACTTTCTGACAACATGTATAGGTTTAATACTCATGTTGCAGCTCTCATATGAGAAAAAAATAATCATTTGCCCAACATTTTTTTTTTACAATCGTCATTTTTGATTCGGTCGTAAATTACATTGATAAGAGTTGTTCATCAATGTTTTATTAACCTTTCTTATTATATCAATATGTTTAGTTTTAGTAACAAAAAATATTTCACAGTTTTTAGAGGCAAAGTTTAAAAAGAAGCATCATTTTGAACAGGTTTACCTGAGAAACCAACCATCACAAATACAGAAATAGAAATTGACAAGGATTTCATAGTTAACTGGTCAGAATCTGAGGCTAACAGCAGTAATTGCAGCATTAAATACCGTGTTGAATGGAGGAAACAACCCATGACAGCATCCACAGAAATCTTTCATCATGGAAATATTGTTGAAACTCGCCACACGATAACTGGTCTTGAGTATGACACAGAGTATGAAGTGAAACTGTTTGCTGTCAACGAACAAGGAGACAGTGAGCCAGATGTTAGAACATTTAAGACAAAAGAGTGGTATGTACCTTTTATTTAAGACTTCTCACTTTACTTTTGGTAGAACTGTTTAAAATCAAATTTTAAAAAAACTAATACTATTACTATAAATATAAAAAACAAACTGGCGCTTGTAAATGTTCCATTGACCCCTTTTCAGCAAGAAGTAGAACTTGTTAAAAAGAAGCAACGAAGGATGCTTCTGATAGCTTTACTGGCCCTCCTTAATACTCATGCTGCAGCTCTCGTATAAGATAAAAAAATATTTTGCCAAACATTTTTACTATCTTCACCATTGATTTAGTCGTACGTCATTGATAAGATAAAGGGTAGATCATCAATGTTTTATTAACCTATTTTTATCATACCAATATCTTTAATTTTATTTAGTTGGTACTGATTGCCAGTCAACCATTTGGTAATGCATACGTCTGAAAACAAATAATTCACTGATCATTGTATGGAATTAAAATTTCGTGTCTGTGTATTTTGATCCACATCTTGCAACCAAGTTTGCTTTATTCTATGCTAAATTCTAATTTCTGTCCAAGTCACTATATACTTTTTGTCGTTGTTGATGTTGCGGTTCTTTCCCTGAATAATTGATTTTATCACAGAGAGGTTAGTTAATAACTTGCAGATCAAGAAACATTCTCCCTCCTAACGTTTTTGGATTCTTTGCCACTGTGTACCATTCTTCCTGTGCAACTTGAGGTCTGAATTAAATTTACCTTTTGGATGACTTTGCTGTTGCGGGCGCTCTACAGGCAAGTGTAGGGAGGGGATTCAGAAATTTGTGATTGAGGAAGAGGGGGTGTCAAAAATTACTTCTCGATCTACCCTCTCCCATGCCCTGCCTCCCATCCAATCGAGATTACTCAGGGAATTAGGATGCACAACTGCTTTTTAGCTCGACTTTTGTCCCAAACTAGATAAGACCGGAAACGATTGTCACAACAATCGTCGTGTTTTGACACAAGATAAAGTAAATCTTTCTCTAAGAGCCATGGACTGTTCTGATTCCAACAAAAAGGAACTGAAATGACATCGTAAGGATAAGAAAAGTTTTTCTTTTCTAGTATCTTCAACTACTTGTGGATTATCCCATAAAGTTAAGTAAACTTAGACTTTGAGCAAAAAGAAAAGCAGTGTACAAAACAGAACTTTACGGATTTTAAAGTATTCAGATGTAGAGATCCTACTTTAAACTCCGCATTCCAAATCTCTGAACTCGCAATCATACCGGAACGCCGTTTTAGTTCAAACCTAGCCCTAGGTTTGCTCGGTGGAGAAAATTAATTGACTCATTCTTAAACCAAGGCGATCTTACGTAGTTGAGTCCTTCGCACCTCATATAGTTTTATTATTATCGCTTCAATTCGAGAAAAATTCAAGTTATGAAAATTGTGTTTTAGGAAGCAGACGGAAATTTCTATTTTGTAATTAGTCACTAGAGGTTTTCAGTGTTAACTTTGGAGTATTGGAGATTTTATCATCTTTCATGGCTGCGGGTGACTTAAATTATCCGTCAAGTGTTCTTAATGATCCGTCGCGCAACCTGTGTCAAGCCATTCTGATTGGAGATTTTACCATCTTTCATGGCTGTGGGTGACTTATATTATCCGTCGAGCGTTCTTAATGATCCGTCGCGCAACCCGTGTCAAGCTATTCTGATAGCACTCCCCTCCACTTCCCTCTCAAGGAATTTAGCCGCCAGTGGAACTTTGTGCATGTAACAAGTTCGCCAGCTTATTCGCAAAGCAACGGAAAGGTAGAAGCAGCTGTTAGCTCCGCTAAAAATGTTATGAGTAAGTAAAGAAAAGTCAGAACAGATCCATACCTCGCTCTCCTCGAATACAGAAACACGCCTAGTCAGGGATTGGGCACCAGTCCAGTGCAGCGGTTGATGTCAAGGCGCACAAGAGCACAACTACCCATCATTCCTAAGCTTCTCAGTCTAGCTTTCCAGCCCAAGATCTATCAGAAGCTTCTCGCCAAGAAATAACGACAATTCCTTGCTTCCAATAGGGGGGCTAAGGATCTGGGAGCACTCAGAGGTGGAGATACAGTGCAACTCGTGCCGCCTGAAAATCCGAGTAAAGAAGCTGTGAAAGCAAATGTTGAAAGGTGTGTTGGAACTCGGTCCTTCGTGGGGCTACAAAGAGGCCTGCCGGAGTTCAAGACCTGCTTTGGTGGCTGAAGGAGGCGTTGAGCAGTCGGATTAACAGTCGACATCCTTACCTGAACAAGCACAGACTGGTCATGAGCTCTCCGCGCCGTGTAAGCGGACAACCGTACCCAGTGGTTGAGTGGATGCGACCAATGGGCATGCGATGGCATCTCAGCAACCGGAGCCACTTGTTCAGCCTAGTGGGTTACCTGTGCAAGGCCCAACAACGCGATCAGGCAGAGTTGTTAAGAAGCCAGCTTATTTAAGGGGATTATGTTACTGGGATGTAACCAGCGCGAAGCTTTCTACGTTCCACAAACTTTGAACTTTGTTTACCTTGTTTGTCTTTGTTTTAATTTTTTTTTATAAGGAAAAGGATGTAACAATAGGCATTGTTTAGTTATAGCCTCGTTTGAGTGTTAAACTAAAAAAAAGGTGTTTGTCAGAAAAAAAAGCAGTTGGTGTAGGACTTGATGGGAGTCATGAAACGATTCCTTCATGATTAAACACGCATTAACCTCCGCTTACGTCGATATTTGTTCTCCAAATACATCCGTCGAAAAAAACAAAAGTCAGCAGAAAAGACTCTGCTCCAAAGTTTTATCTTTTCATCTCTATTTTTTTTTGCGCGAAAGAAAAACGAACTCGTTTTGTAGACTCCAGTGATATTAAAAAGCCGGTCGCAGATACACATCCACCATCAGATCAACACTGGCTTTTTTTGCGGGCGGTTTCCTCTCTATCTAAAAATTAACGGTAGGGTTCGAAAATAAATAAAGCATTTTCTGGCTTGCTTGTATGTTGACTGATGATGCTCTTGGCTGAGATATTGTCCTTATAATTTTACATTTAGCCTAGAAGCTTCCTTTTAGACCAATTATTAATTTTCGGATAATCTCTCAGCCGTGGACGATGTTAGCTGACATATTACCCGCCCGAGAGGTTTATTTAATAAACATGTATGCTTAACCTTTGAGGTAGGAATACTGCTTCTATGAACACGCTTAACCGGCCATGTAAAAGTGTATCAAATGACACTGCCCTTAGTATTTTATGAATTATTTTACTTTAAATAATACTAAATAGGGCACTGGCGCGCTACGCGGCAGAGTTATCAAATCCACCTGCGTGCAGAAAAGACGCAAGTTGCAGAGGGATCTTCTTGTTATCATGGCTGTTCTGTTTATAATAATTTTCATTCACGTGAATTATCTTAATTTTCTTTTTTCCCTTTATTTTTTATATGTTTTGAACATTTTCTTAGATACTTTTGATATATTTGTAATCACAAGATATTTAGACTGAGATGTAGATCAGTGAATAAAATATTGTCAAAGATTAGTTATTTAAATTCAGAGATCTTACTGATGGCAGGATAATCTACTTTTAGGTGTCTGACAAGACTAGCCTAAAGTTTTACCATTAGTTATTTTTGGATAGTAATACGTGATCCTGTTGTTTCAAGAATTTGGCTGTGAGACAAGAGGATCTGATAGGGTGGGACCAGGACCTCTTAGAGGGGGCCTTCCTTCCAACCGATTTTAACCATTATAGGGTCCGTGAGTTGGGCCTGTGATATCCAATACTGGAATCGTTTCTCTGTCAGACATGAGACTAGATATTTATATTCAAGACTAAGCTTCTACTTGACGGTTTAGAACTATGGGTGGTACTAATGTGCTTTTACTTTTGTTATACTTTTTCACCATTAAAAGTAAGACCAGTAAAGCCTAAGATTTTTGTCTTAAGGGCTTGTTTGTTAATTGACCTACCCTCCTCAAACAGAGAGTGAAAGTATTAAAACTACTATCCTCGTCTTCATATTATTTATTATGTTCCTTTTTTTTTCAGCCGCCGTAATTCTTTACTTCAGCTTTAAAAGTCTTCAATTATGTACCGCGGAGTTCCAACAAACTGATTGCCTCTCCTTTGATCTCTAACGTGAAAACAGACCAAATATTCACTAATCTTCTCATACAACATGGAAGAAAAAGCCCGATCAGGAGTAACAATGACGAGACATATTATTCAAAGTGAAGAGCTTGAGTACTACAAAAGTTAGCGGTACCCCATCCAAGCACTGTAGTGAAATATTTCTTGGCGTGATTGATGATCAGGAGAGTATAATTCTATTCTTGTCGTTGGAAAAAACAGGGTTAGGAATCCTGTTTTGCCATAAGGTGATTTCGCGATTGGG